CTATGTGTGAAAATTTATTTTTTTATAGTTATTCAATCTTGGTTATTCTCCTATTATGTAATAACACGTGACGTCTATTTTCGTTCCATTTTATCTCCTGTGTAACTCATATTTTTAAAACTACTAAAAGTTTTAGTTTATTGTTGTTAATAAATGAATAAAAATATATCTGAAGGGGGTTTTACTGCTGGGAAAAAATCCTGAACAAAAATTTTTATTATACAGTTTATTGCAAAAAATCGAGGAAGTCGACATGAAATTATATAAAACTATTTACATTAAAAATAAGTAGCTCCAAATTGATGGGGCGGTAAAATTTCGTTTTGCACGGGGCAGCAAAATGTTCAGGAACGGCCATGGTTGATAGCAAACTGCGTCATCATTTTCGAAAGGATGACGTACACGTCTCCTCTCAGCAATCCGACTATAACACGTTACCGCCCAAATTTGGCTAAACAGTACAGTTATTATTAGTATTACACTCGACCTATTTACATTGATATATGTGGCGTTGCTAAAATGTTGATGACGTTATCATAAAATTTTGTTATGCAAAAACTCACTTGAAACACATGCTTAGCATGCTTCTTTCACTGCACACATGCGGAGCCAGGGTATTTAGTACATCAATAATTTTAGACCAATTTATTTCTGCAAAAAACTGAGTGTCTTCAATATAAAAAGTAGTGAGATAACGTCATCAAATTTTTAGTGCATATGATGAGCTAAATTTTGGTTAACGTTTTACCATCTACATGATATTTTCAACATACGCATAAAATTTCACTACATACAGCCCAATAGTTTCGGGATTTATCGGTCTAAGAAAAGCGCCTTCAGACCACAGACGTCGAGAAAGCACGAAAGTAGTTCTTTGCCAAAATGGGCTCTATTACAATGTGTACTTCCTTAGCCTACATCGGAAAGTATAAATGTGTCTCCCGTTTCTGCCTCTTTGTTCTCTTGTCATCGGTCTTATTTTTCTATCCTTATTTATCTCTCTAATCCATTTTTCCAACAGAAATCCCAGAAATACTAGTTATATATGTGTACAACGTTGCACCATAAACGTAGTGATACTAATCACTAATTTTTAACTACATATAAGTATATCAAACAATGATATGTTGCATACCAAAGCACAATATCGTGCCTCAACTTTTGCCCCTCGAATTCGCACAGTTTCAACAACTTAACCCAACGTGAAACATTGTTTATCTAACTTCTTCGCCATTATCAAATTAAAAGTTTGAAACTTTATAATGAATGCAGCTCATATGAAATAGGGGTAAAGTTTTGATTAAGTCCTAAATTAAATTTCTAATATCGAGTCGTAACACTTGCTAATATAACCGTATTAGTTAAGCTGGTATCTGGAGGGTTTTCTTTCTCCATCCCTTTGTAATTCCGAAGGTAAATAAAGCTTCTCTAACCTAATAATCGTTAATAAAGAGTGCCAACGTTATACGCTTCCCACTCAAGTCACCCAAGCAGTTAAATTCTAATTTATTACCAGATAAGAGAAGCTTGTTACGAATGTTGTCTGCTACCTATTGTTTATATTTTTAAATTTCAAGATATCATGTTTTCAATAAAACGGTGCTTGAACGAAGTAGGTTTTTTCGCCGCGACGAAGTACGCACCTACATAGTTAATTGCCCTGATACTGGGTATTTCATTTCAGGTTTGTAAGGGTAAGAGAATAATAGTCTCAGTATAACTGGAGCTTATTTAATTTATTTCTGTAGGTAAGGACCCTGGCGGTGTATTAGAGTGGTTGATGTCATTTAGTACCCGATATAATAAACACCTCGAGAGGGAGAGTTCTGGTTCCGGTAAATGTGGACGAGCGTCGATCGACGCCGAGACGCTTTTGTATTGAATGTGACAGTATGAAACGCGTTTCCGTCGCTATACTCTGGAATCTCTGGAACAGGGGGAGTTTAACTGCCTCTTAGTTTCATTGCCGATTCTGTTATTGATAAAGTTAATGAAATTAAGTCCGGCCTTCCGATTACAATACTTAGAGGGAATTTTTCAACGTTGGTCCTGCTTCCGCTAATTGCCTTGAACCGCAATTTATTTATAATCAGAATCTATAAGCCATCTGATAAGTGATAAAGTAAAACATTTTGACTACCATTGTTTAGCAGTCACACTTTAATGTTTGTTGCAAAGTTGGATTATTAGGCACAAGTGCAATAAAGTGATAAAAGGCAATTTTGAAATTTAATAAATTTATTTATTGTAAAGATTAATTACATATCTACTTTTACAGTTCAAAATAGTCATTCTAAGTCAGTTTCAACGCATAGTTGCAGAAAAACTTAACTGCCGTTATTTATTAAACGTTAATAACATATTAAATGCGCCATTAACTATGAATGTAAATAAACACACACACTATTGATTTATTTTTTCATTATAACCAGTAACTACATAAAGGTAAAATGAAAAATTAAGGTACATTATTAAACCATATAAGCTCAATTAAATTTTGAGATGACATGATTAATTTCATTAGTCAACAAAATTCATTAAGCAAAAGAATAAGTGGACTTTACTAAGTTGTACATGCTGATTCTAAATCTGCAATTGATTTTTATCTAGCACGTTAATTCATCTATCCTTTTTAAAATCTACTAAAGTCATCCCAATATGTGTTTTAAATTTTCATTTGAAATATTGTACAACATTCTCCATTATGGTTTAATAATTTTTTAAAATTACTTATAAAGATCATCTCAAAAAATTGATAAATCAATTTATTTTATTGATTAAATCAAAAACAGTTTACCTAATAATCCAGAAGTTTGTCGAATTTATCAATCTGCAATAAGCTTTTGAAGATTCAACCTAAAAAATTCAACTGAAACTCAATGTCTACAACAAAAATGTAAGCACTAGGTATAGTAAGAATTTTGAAATTTACAAAAACGTGTTTACAATTGTCTATAAAATTCAATAATTTCAATTCAGTTATGTAAGCAAAGTTTCTTTAAAGTTTAAATATGCGAAATGTAGATGACGAATGTCCTCCTCATTCAAAATGCATAGGTGATTTTTGATGAATTAAGTTATAATACTTATAACATTAGTTGTATATTAGGTTAAACTATGGGAGACAACGCATTTAGAAAGTAAATACTTTTTCCACAGCTCAATACAAGTTTACTTCTATGATCATCCCAGAGTAGACCTACATCAAGATAAACATCAAACGTTTAGGATTCTCGATTTTTTTTGAAGAAAGTAATTCTCTCAAAGAAAAAAATGTTTGCATCATTTAAAATAAAAAATATTAGAGGAAACAACTGTTTTACTTTTGACTGATAGGAAATTAAGGTGGATTTGAAACTATTTAGGTCCTTGTGAGGAAGAAGAAAATTAATATAAATAATAAACAGTATAGGTCCGAAAATTGAACTTTAAGGTACTCTGTAATGCAGAGGTAAAGACGATGAATTCTTTTATTTCGTAAAGACCACCTGTTGCCTATTACGTAAAAAAGAGGTAATTAATTTTGCAGCAGAAGATGAAAAGTTATATAATAAATGAAGCTTTTGCAAAAGTTTATCATACAGACAAAAATTTTGGAAATATAACAAAAAATTCTCCTAAATGTAGTCCTTTGGCAAACGATTCAGTTGTTTACATTATTCTATTGAAGTAGATTTTCGTTTTTAGAATTTCATTTGGGTTTAATTTCTTAAAGAGGGGAATAATTTTAAATAGCTACCTTTAGTTAGACAGTTAAGAAAGTAGCCGGTTTTGATCCCTGCCATTTGTCGTACTCAACTTAAAAATAAACTTCCATGTAGATACTCTCTTGAAATTTAAAGTAAGTATTTAAATTTATAGAATTATTGAAGAAATCGTTTTCAACAGGATGTAATTTATTAACAAGTTCTTCAGCTATATTAACAAAGTCTGAAATTTGTTAAAGTCATCAGGGTGATGGTAAGAACTTTAAATAAGTAGTACGTATTTTTCATTCGAAAATGATTACTTAACTTCCAAACAAAATGCGATTTGGCACCTGAGTATGTAAGAATTATATAAGCCTGTCGTTTGGCCAGTTGTAGAACATGACGATATTTAGTTCTTAAATTCATTCAGAAGAAAGTCTGATTTATTTTGTATCTACGAATTATGCATGAAACTTAAGAAATCACGTAAATTGAATAGTTTTTAAGTAGGTATACCAACATAATTTTAAGTTTATATCACCAATTTTTAGATTATAATAAGGAAATACAAATCAGTTTCCGATGACAAAAACGAGAACGACATAAGACAACCTACAAGAGATTCAAATGATATCCCTAGAAAACTCACCAACGTCTGGCGTTTTCCAAAATTGTCTCTAACCACAAAAGTCTAGTATGATATCGATATATGGTCCGATCATCATGAGAAAAGTGACTACACTACTCTGATCTAATTTGTTTGGTGCTAACCTATTCTGATCAACATAATTAAATTGTTCCAGAAACTTACATGTTCCTTGTCTCTTATGTTATCGTCATTATCAGCAAAACTATTACTTAGAATATTCAGAACAGAGATTACTATCTACTATGCTTTCAGAATTATATGTTTTAAATTACCTATAAGTACTGCAGGTTTTCTGCAATTAGATTTTTCTCGACGAATCTATCAAATTTTATCTTACAAACGTCAACACCAAATCAGTTCCAGTGATCACAAAATCAGTAGGAAAAAATATTTTCGACAAAATGTTTTCAGGCTTAAACCACGTAACTCTGTGTTTTTGTTAAACTGAAATCAAGTGCAATTGACAAAAACATTCCTAACTTCGCGTTGCACTAGCAAGTCGTTTTTCCCTTCGTTTGTTATTCACAACGGGGAATGAGGTAGACCCCTAAGAATTCAGCACTAACCAGCAGATGAAATGACGTGTTTTATGCTGCTTAGAATTTAAAGCCGTCAAAAATAACTCACTGTTCTGATGTTTAATTTTCTCTGTATTGTTTCAGCGTGTTGTGTTTTGTGCAGTGACATAACATCATCATTCTCCCGGCACAGCAGCTGGGGGCGGTGGCACCATGGCCATCCGCTATCACATCCGTGGACGATATGGCACACAAAGGTAAAGGTAATAACGTAAAAGTTCATAATTTTTCAACAGTACATGTATGTGTAGCTTAAATTCTCATATACATTACGACCGAAAATTTACAATGAACTACATTTTTAGCGGTTAGACTAGCACACCCATTTATTGTATCCCACAAAAAAATTCTGATGTGAATAAGATTGTAACAAAGTTAAAATAAATAAGGCGGGTATTTTGTACTGCAATAAAATTTTCAAACAATTATTATGGATATGTCATTGTTCAGAAAAATTATACCTAAATGTTTGTTCGAAGTTGTCAGTTTTATGTTTGAATTTTATATCAAGCCCTTCATCAGTATGAAGCACAAAACCTAGAAAAGAAAGTTTAGTTAAGTAACATCACATTGATCTTGTAGTTTTCTAAATAGTTAGCTACTAATATGTTTTTTGATACATTTATTACAACTACACAACTAACTACAAGCATGTTATATTCACAGTCAAAAAACGTGTTCTGCTTCTTGAACGGTTCTGAAAAGGAAACATCTTCAGAAAACGCTACTTTAAATATTTATTATTTTATGTAAACATGTAAAAGGAAAATATGTTTTATATTGTAGTATGAACTTGTAAGAAACCAGATAGTATTGTTGTGTCACTACTAAAATAATACTCACTAAAAAGGTAGATTAACTGTAATGCTAAATAATCAAAAGCTGATTCCTCAAAGTGGTGACAAATAAAGTAATAACGTATGGGTGTTTTAATTCGATTTACACTTGAAAGGCATTTATTCTGGTAGGTTTCTGCGTAACTTTATTTTTTCTGGTTTAAGAAAAAAAGATAAATTTGCTTAGCAACCATATTCTTTAAACTGGCATTTTTGGGTAAAATTGATCATTTTTGTTGAACAGGATTACCTATCTTAAAATACTTTGCTAAAGAGCAACGTTGCGAAATCAGTTTTTCGAACAAAGATTAAAAGTAAAGACTAAAAAAATAATTTTAAATGACAAATTAGGAACCAGAAACACTGTTGAAAATAATAGTAACAGAATAACTATAGTAATATCAATGACGACGACATCAACAATAATAATAAATTAGCTCCAAGTAAACTAGATCAGAGGGGTGATACGTGGATTAGTGATCGGTAGACAAGCAAGAATTGTGAGAGCATCGTGTAAAACAAGATCTCGTGAGTTGTAATTTTCGAAACCACAAAAAACTGCTTATTGTGAAAATTTAGAAGTATTTTAAGACTATCATCAAATAGTAAAATGCTAACCGAAATGTGTCTCATCATATCTACCAAAAATTTGATGACGTTATAAAAAATGTTGTCCGATTTCTTAATCCACTCCTATTTTTAATCTTATGAATGTGGGTTTTTGAAAAAAAATCAAAAGTGTACAACAAAACTTTACAGTTCAACTTAGAGACTATAAAATTAATTGCTCCGAAATTTTGAGTGCGTCGGTAACAACAGCGATGGCTTGTGTACGTCGCATGAACCAGTTGATTTTTAACATAATATTGAGTCAATGTTGAGTGAGAGAGATACTTTAAACAAGTCGTCAGAACTAATGATCAATATTTTTTTTTTCTCCATTGGAATACTTAGAGTTACAATTTACTCCAAAATATTTTTCACGGTGTATACTATTCTGCAGCCAATACAGCAACAATTTTCAAAAATATAACAAAATCAAAAACAAATATGTAATAGTTTTCTTTTTGAACAAATGTTTGAATTCTTGCAGAGACATAGATAATCGGTAGTTTTTTACCGTGTGATTTTTTAATTCTCTGCTCTAGTTGGACACGATGCGTATGTTAACAGTGAAATCAGACCTCTGACGTACCTACCTAAGCGACATGGCCAAGACATTAAAAAATCAGCCCATATAATTAAAAACATCGTACATTCTGTAGTAACATATTGAACGAAGGAAAATGTACATACAAATTCTCCAATTTTTGCATATATACAACACCAGTAGCAACATCATAATAAATATTTTACTTCAAGGATACATGCATAAAATGCGGCATAAAACTATCAGTCTCCCACGTTCATCATTATTTTTATAGCTTGGGCAACCGGTTGTGAGTTATCAATCAGCCGTTCAGTAGACTCGAATTTTAATACCACAAACTGAATAAAAACATTATCATAAAATTAAATGAAAATGGGGTTATGTTACCTATCACACGAACTAATGAATATTATCAAATTAAAATATTTGTAAAATTGCTCATATGTATTGAATAAAGAACACATTAAAATTCTCTCTCTCAAAGTTTAATTGTGGTAGATATTGAAATACATAGTGCCACCACTTTTTTATTTTATCGAATTTTACGCCTCTCTAGAAATAATAGAAGCGAGGCTGCGTAATAAGAATTATACCGGATGACTATTAAGTAGTGATTGAAGTAAATTTTTGTGTTGGCAATTCTGAATTATTGGTAGCAATGCTAGTATGTCAGTTCACAGTTATCAATGTCTAACAAATGTGTAGGTATGCCATCATAAAATTTTAAATACTTATTTTTCCAAACTGACAAAAATAATCACAAATATTAATAGTCACTCGGTATTTCCCATTGACGTGTACGTTGTAAAAAATGCAAAATTTAACCACAACAACAATAATTACTATACGATACTACCTAGAAACCAGACCTTTTAGAGAAAAAGATTTAAACTTTACCTTTTATATAAACTATCACTATCAAGCTTTTACAGTTCTAGAATCGTTACACTTTCCGTGTAGTTTATTATCTGCAGCAGACTTCCGCTAATATGACAAAGTAAACACGTGTGCTTTGATAAGGAGAAAATGATTTACCATCTCTAATCAAAAAGCGTGTCGTTACAATTACTCTAAACATAAATTATCTTTATCCCACAAATTCAATTGTTATTTTTCACTTAAAACGTGATATATGATTTACCATAACACGAGTAAAATAGTAACGCATTGTAAAACATTAACAAACCATAGAAAATAACTATCGACTTACTTGATTTACTACATCGCGCGGGACATAAATTTATCTCCCATCTAAAAATAGATATATAGATATCATAAAATTTGCAAAATCCAAATTATGGATACAATATTCGTTACATTCTTTTATTCAGTACGTAAAAATCATGAATAAATCCTGAAAAGAAAAAGAACAAGATCTTTTAAATTGCTATACAGTACAGAGTCCATCAGAGTCTTTTGTGAAGACGTTAGTTATTTGATGTCGTAAGTGATTTTGTTCGAGGGTGACCAATGCTTTCTCCCTGAATTGTTCGGGTGTCGCGTCCGGTACTTAAGAATATTTACGGGCTAAAGAAGCAGGTCCGGCGTCTATATGGATTGCGTTTACAGTTCGACTAAAGCAAGTTTTCCACTGACTTTGCGTTTTCAGAAAGACATTGCAAACAATAAAAACCACAAAAGTATTAGATGTATTTTTTTCTGGATAACTTTGTTTAATAAAGGCCTGGAAATTTTCCAGATAAACAACTGTTTCTAAACATTGTGTATTCTCTGGGGTTTGAAATCATAACTCAATACGTCACACAGAGTTGATAGCATTTTGTCATGACATTTACAATTAATTATTCATGAGAAAAATCTACTTTTAACTACATAGATGAAAATTACAACACTGTTGAAATAACAAAAATAAGTATAAAAACCAAAATTTACACTTTTTTACTATAATTTTTATAATGAACGACTTGCAACAATTAGTCGTAAGTTTCATCTTTACATCGAGAGAGCAGGTAAAAAAACACAGTCAAAGGCAAACATGAATTTTTGAAGATTTGTTTTTAATAGAATTTTCGTCTTGTCAGATTACCGTCAATTTGAAAGTTTGAGTTGAAAATGCCACGATCAAAAACAAACTTTCAAAAATTTATAGATATCTTTGATCATGTATTTATCACGTTCTCGGTATAAAATGCACCATCTTTATGAATTTGGGATACCCTATTCCGGTTGGTAAGAGTTGACATGGAATTGGCATTCCTTATTCAGTATATACATATGCGAAAGACCTCATTCACTGATTTTTATGATTACTGAAACATATAAAATAAATTGATGTTTAGCTGTTATTCTATTACTTGAATGTACCACCTTGAAACTTACATCATAGCACTACTCATGTGGGAACTAAAGTAATCCGTTTTTGAGCTGTAAACATTTAATAGGTAGTTTGGAACATAATTTTTTATATCACCACGTTTAAACCAAATGAACTTATATAATATACTAGCTCAGTTATTTTACATAGAATTGATATTTTTTGGAAAGTTACTTTTAACTTCTATTCGCTCGAAATAAAACTTTAAGGTGGGATCTACCATTTCTTTACTTAATTTTTCTTCACCCTACTTTTGTTTTGAAAATCTAAGTCATTATAAGTCTATTTTGCTACTAAATTATTTGAATTTGAATGCTTCAAAAGGATTTTTTCTATTAGGTATACGTATTTTAATTATTTTTTCCAGATTTTGGCAAAGTTGCTATTAAATAGTGCTTATATTTTTGACGCCACTCTCTTCCTATTCGCAAGACGCCAAGAACTTGATTCAAACAAAAACTAACAATATTTTAAACGAAATTAGAACAGCAGCTAAGGCTCCTCACTTTTTCCCGAAAAGTGTTGTACAAAATTTTCATTTTTTCTGATTCAAATTCAAAAATTTAAAAACTAAACGTGAAATGCAACAATTCCTTCAAATATTTGTTGTTATTATTCCTGTAGAGCCGATATGTGAATTCACTTAAAAATATAACGTATTTGTTCGTCACCCTATGAATCGCGGATCAGTTTCAACCACCGCCCACCAACTCTTGGTTCATACCTAACAAGGGTTTAGGACGACAGTAGAAGGTTATTTTAACTCATTGAATGCAAGTTTAAATACAACATGACCTGCATATATTTTCAGTATATTTTCTCTTAAAATTTCTTTTTTTCTCTGTATCCGTACCGCGTACGGCGCATAATAGTCCT